ATTATGAGAGAAAGAAACAGATAGAATGGAGTGAGAATTCTCATTCACTAATTTATCTATAACTGCCCAAACATCAGGTCTGGATTCAAATTGTAACTACTGATTTCCCGCAGTTGAAAGATTGTTCTTTCTCTCTCTCTCTTTTTTTTTTTTTTTTTTTTAAGATTTAGTTATTTTTATGGAAAGGCAGATTTACAGAGAAGAGGAGAGACAGAGAGAGAGGAAGATCTTCCATCCGCTGGTTCACTCCCCAAGTGGCCACAATGGCCAGAGCTGAGCTGATCCAAAGCCAGGAGCCTGGAGCTTCTTCTGGGTCTCCCACATGGGTGCAGGGTCCCAAGGCTTTGGGCCATCCTGGACTGTTTTCCCAGGCCACAAGCAGGGAGCTGGATGGGAAGTGGTGCAGCCAGGATATGAACCAGTGCCCATATGGGATCCCAGTGCATGCAAAGTGAGGATTTAGCCACTAGGCTACCAAGCCAGGCCCAAGACTGTTGCCTTTTAACAGTAGATTCTTGTCAGCTGTCTCCTCTCTGTGCAAGAAAAGCTAGTGTTTCCACCACTCCAAATTCAAACAAGTTAAGATTGCCTGATACCTAAGGTGCTTCAAGGACAATTTATCAAATACATGTGATTGTACTTGTCTCTTTACTGAGTCCAAACAAGTAAGAAACCTATAGATGTATTGTATCAGATTGCAATAAAGTGCAGTGCTGTTGGCTGTCTGACTATCCTTTGTCATTCTGTAGTAACATTAAAATATCCTGTAGTACCCAGCTTGTTAGCCTAGCGGCTAAATTTCTTGGCTTGCATGTGCTGGGATCCCTTATGGGTGCGCATTCTAGCCCTGGCAGCTCCACTTCCCATCCAGCTCCCTGCTGGTGGCCTGGGAAAGCAGTCAAGGATGACCCAAAGCCTTGGGATCCTGCACCCGTGTGGGAGACACAGAGGAAAATCCAGGCTCCTGGCTGTTGTGGCCACTTGGGGAGTGAATCAACGGACAGAGGATCTTCCTCTCTGTCTCTCCTCCTCTGTGTATATCTGACTTCTCAATAAAAATAAATACATCTTTTAAAAAAATGTATCCCCTAGTAGTTGTGGAAGCTTGGTAGCTGGCCACAATGGCCCCGTATCTTGTTTCTGAATCTGAATCATTTTAGGTCATGGAATTGAGCAAGTGATCACATTTCATCTAAAGGATTATCTATTTTCCAGCTGGCTTCTCCTTTTAATTTGTATAAAGTTATAAAGATAATAGAACAAAAGAAAAATTGTAAGGGAGTAGTTATTGTGGCCCAAATGATTAAGCCACAACTTGGGATGCCTGTATCCCACATCAGAGATCTAGGCGAGTCCTGGTCTCCTCGTTTCTGATCCAATTTCCACATAATCATGTTTGCAAGCCATTGATGATGGCTCAAGTCGTTGGTCCCTTGCCATCGATGTAGCCTCCCCGATGTGGGTCCTGGCTCTTGGTTTTAAACTGGCCCAGGGCTGGCTGTTACAGGCATTTGGGTAGTAAACCAATAGATGAAGAACTTTTCCCTCTATGCCTTTCATGTATATGGAACTAAGGAAACATATAAAAGAATAAATTGTAATAAAGAGAAAGTTTTTAAAATCAGGTTTAAACAGCAGATATTCATATCTGTAGCATATATCCTGTTTTAAAATTTTTATATTTTTGCCCACATTCATTTACGTGTTAGAAAAGGATTTGTCACACAGTTGGCAGTTTCTGTGAATTTGAATATTTATAGTATGAAACCTTTTCATGTCACCTAGGAGTTGGAGCCACTGCATCTACAAGTCCAGTTTGTTGTTCCACTCATGCAAGCTCAGGATGATGGAGTCCAGGCCAGGGCAGTAGGTTCAGTCCAGCTGTGTTGGTTTTGGTTGTTGTGGTCTCTGAACAGAGATCCTGAAAACACATCTCTTTATTTATCACCTCCTTTAATGCTTTGGTCATCATGCTAGCCTCTACTCCAAAATTTCCTGATTGCTATTAAGTTTTTTTTTTTTCTCAGATCCACTCTGATAGATCATTCTCAGTGATGGGAATTTTCTTGTTTTGTACAGCATTGCAACAGCAGGTTATAATTTGAAGTTGGAATATGGCTGGTTGAGGAACTGAATACTTTGTTTTGCTTCTCATGCTTAAATGTAAAAAGGACATGTGTCTAGTGGCTATTAGAATGGGCAGTAAAGGCCAAGTTCTCCTTTTATAGTCAGGCTAGTTCTATATTATTTTTATAAAAATGTTTATTCTTGAGCCCAGCATCATGACTCAGTGTTTAAATACTTGCCTTACATGTGTTGGAATTTCATATGGGTGCAGATTTGTGTCTTGCCTGCCCTACTTCATATCCTGGTCTCTGCTTGTGGCCCGGGAAAGCAGTCAAGGACAGCCCAAAGCCTTGGGACCCGGTATTCAAGTGGGAGACCCAGATGACGCTCCGGGCTCCTGACTTTGAATTGGCTCAGTTCTGACCATTGTGGTCACTTGGCGAGTGAACCAGAAGATGGAAAATTCTCTCTCTCCTTCTCCTTGCAAATCTGTCTTTCCAATAAAAATAAATAAATCTTTAAAAAATTAATTTCATTTTTATTGGAAAGGCAAAGAAACTGGAAAAAAGAAATTCCTCTTCCATCTACTGTTCACTTTCCTAATACTTGAAATCCATAGTCAGCTAGAACTCCAGCAGAGTCTCCCAGGGTTCACATTAGTAGGAAGCTAGATTGGGAATGCCCTCTGCAGCCAGGCCTTCGATCTGTGGCATGAAATGGCCCATGTTTTACCTTCCCTGCTGTGCCAAACACCCCTCCCAGTATTGTGCTCTTGGCCCCATGTGTATACCAGGCATTCTTCTTGACCCAAGTTAGTCTTTTCTCACCTAGATTTCTTTCTCTCAGTTCCTTCATTTCATCCTTGTTCTCTTTAACTTCCAAGGAGTAGAGGAGCATTCATACTCTCAGCTTCCCTACATGTGTGTAGATCTTCTTTTCCTGGGAAGGTCTTTTGTGTTCTGTTTTTCTCATCAGGACTCGATGAAAGCATGATTCACCATAAACTTTTATAATAGTTATTTATTCTATTTTAGTTTATTTTGTCTTTCATGTGAATTTACCTTATCCTCCCAACTTCTTAAAAATGTCTCTGAGAACAGAACAGTGTCTTGTATCATTTTTGAACTTTTTTTTGGCACCATGTAGATGGCAAAGGTGCAGAGAATATCCAGTGATTGCTTTGCTGGTTGATTACTGAAGAAACACAAATCTGTGCCACTGAGTCTCTGTGTAGATGACTCACTCTGTCAACAAATATTTGTGCAGTGTTTATGGGAGTCATTTGGGTTGAACTTCTTGAATTCAAGGAGTTAGCCTGGATAACAAGAAGGATCATAAACTGGTACATAGAGATTATATGATAAGAGTATGTTAAGTTCTGGACATGGTGGTCAGGGACTGCAAAGAAATGTTAGCTAATAATTGAGAAACTCTTTCCTTAGGAAGAAAACCCTTGAGATGCTGATCAAATAATGGAAGTTTCTGATATAGCAATGAGAGACAAGAATGTTGTTTCTTAAAACCACCTAGAAGCCTTTAAGTGATCTGTTTTTGAAAAGGCTGTAAAATGTGCCAAGTATATCCTATTTGCACTGTTATAACAAATGCACTCAAGCTTCTTGGTGTACCTGTTATTAAACTTGGACTTGCCTCCAAAAAATTAGTTTTAGAATGCTATAATAAGTAGATTGGCAAAGGTGTTCAATATGGTCAAACTTATTGTTCCTTATTAGTATTTGCGGCACATTTATGAGGGGCCTTTTAGGTGTCATGGAAAATACTGTATAAAAATAGCATGGTGGGCCTGGCACGATAGTGTAGTGGTTGAAGTCCTCGCCTTGCACGTGCCAGGATCCCATATGGTTGCTGGTTCTAATCCCCGCAGCCCTGCTTCCCGTCCAGCTCCCTGCTTGTGGCCTGGGAAAGCAGTCGAATATGGCCCAAGGCCCTGGGACACTGTACCCGCATGGAAGACCTGAAAGAGTTCATGGCTCCCAGCTTCGGATTGTCTCAACTCGAGCCGTTGTGCTCACTTGCAAAGTGGAAGATCTTCCTCTCTGTCTCTCCTCTCTGTGACTTTCCAATTAAAAAAAAAATCTTTTGGGCCCGGCGTGGTGGCGCAAGTGGTTAAGGTCCTCACCTTGCACGCCTGGGATCCCATATGGGCAGCCCCGCTTCCCTTCCAGCTCCCCGCCTGTGGCCCGGGAAGGCAGTTGAGGACGGCCCAAAGCTTTGGGACCTGCCCACGTGGGAGACCTGGAAGAGGCTCCTGGCTTCGGATTGGCATAGCATCGGCCATTGCGCTCACTTAGGGAGTGAATCATCGGATGGAAGATCTTCCTCTCTGTCTCTCCTCTCTGTATATCCGCCTTTCGAATAAAAAAATAATAAAAATAAATCTTAAAAAAAAATCTTTTAAACAAACAGAAAAAGAAAAAAACAGCATGTTTTGTGTCAACATAAGCTTATCTTTTAATTCCATTCTCCATGAACTTTATGGTGAGTGTGCAGTATACACTAGAGACCATTCTTGACATTTGATAACCCATTGGGTCCTTCTGTTCACTGTAAATACACCGTTGAGGAGATATATGACAGTTACCTCATTTCACATGGAGGACAGGAAAAGGAGCTAGAACTTAATCCTTGGGACATTTTGGGTAAGCATTGGAGATACGGAAAATGAAAAGAATATTGTGAATATGTGAGTGTAAAATGCAAAGCACCAAGGCATTTTCTGTTGAGTGTGGTTTTCAGTGTGGAGGTGGTCTGTGAGTTTTGTAAGGAAATGGTAACCCTTTACTGGGGTGGAACACTTCATACCATAAAATTTTCCTTTCTAATGACAGAATTAAATGGCTGGGAAACACATAACAATTTTGGGCCTGATTATTCACTTTTGTGTTTCAACTTTGACTTTTTAAATTTTGCAGAAATTTCGGAGCGCTTCAGTTGGGGCTGAGGAGTACATGTATGACCAGACTTCAAGGTATGTTACCAGGAGATAACACCTTTGCAGTGGACCTCCAGGTTGTGTTGCTGGACGTTTTCTTCCTAGTATACTTCAATAGAATGATTTGGTTCCATTGGCATTTGACTCTTGTTTGCATACAAATGACACCTGTAGCATTATTTCTGGCCTAAGCCACGTTTTGGGAGCCAGTGCTTTTTCTTCATTCCTTTGACTAGACACTTCTAGGGGCTTTCCCAAAACTCAGTCTCCTGTGCCTCCAACCAAACACATGTGAAGTGCAAGCCTTTGTCTTTTCCCTCCATCTCCCCCTGCTTTGTATTTGATCTCCCACTTCTTGGTGTGGCTCATGAGGGAACCCAGCTAGAGATGGGAGGGTCTGCCTGCCTTCTGTCATGTCACTTCCGACCTACTCTTATCAACTTTCTCCTGACATGTTGAAATACGAATTATCTCCCTTCCAGTCCTGTCTTTCCCTTCCATTCTACTTTGCACTTAGCTACCAGCTCTCCGGGGCTTCTCCTGTACCAGCAATGTGCTAAGATTGAAGATAAGATATGAACTCTTCTGACAAGAATCTCTAAATTTTGAGGGGAGACATGTGTGATGATAGGCTAATTATATTATGTTTCCTAAGTGATGACTCTAATTCTAAGCAGCTGAGTGAGCCTGAAAGCGTGGGTGGTATGGAGCAGGGATAAAAACATCCTGTTATCCAGAAGCATCTGAACTGGATCTTGAAGGGTTGCTAACACATTTTGTAGGGAAAAGGAGATTAAATATGTTTTGGGTAGTATCGTTACGACACTAGCTGTGGTCATGTCTAGAAAAAAACAATAGCAAGCAATGAGTTTCCCATTTATAAGGACTGCCAGGATTTCACTATTTGAGACAGAATGAAATACCAGTTCCTTACAAAGGTGCTTAGGGCCCTCTAAGCTCTGATCCCTCTTTTTTTTATTATTGGTACCATGTTGCTTACACATATGTGACTCTTCCATTTTCTCTGGCTTCACCTGAAGTCCTCTTGTTGCTGCAGGATTTTGCTCCCAGTTACCATGTCCTGATCATCCTAATAAGAATATGATATGCTAGGGGATGTGGTGGGCATGGCTTTCCAAGCAGGTGCATTTGGGATTTTCATGCTGCACCTCCAGAGTGGCCTGTCCTCAGCTGCCAGATGAACATTTTACTACTCACAGCCCTGACTGTTCTTGCTGGGGTTGCTGTACTTCCTGGAGTGGGTTGGCTCTGACTCCCCCACAACTGTGAGATGAGGAAGATGGGCAAATCCTGGGTTCTGATCCTGTACTGTAGACTGCCTTATATGATATAAATCCTGAATTTTATTAGGAGTCATATCTGTTGTTATGTGCCTTTTCCTGGGAGGGAGTGCACAGTTGTATTTTTTTTAAAGATTAATTTATTTATATTGGAACGGTAGATATATAGAGAGAAGGAGAGACAGAAAGATCTTCTGTCTGTTGACTCATTCCCCAAGTGGTCACAATGATCGGAGCTGAGCCAATCTAAAGAAAGGAGCCAGCAGCTTCCTCCAGGTCTCCCATGTGGATGCCATCCTTTACTGCTTTCCCAGGCCACAGACAGAAAACAGGATAGAAAGTACAGCAACTGGCACACAAACTGGCACCCATAGTGATTCCTGGTACATGCAAGGCGAGGACTAGCCACTAGGCTATCACGCCAGGCCCAAATCCTGAAGTTTTATTAAGGGTTGTTTCTGTTCTTATGTGCCTTTTCCTGCAAGCAAGTTTCACAGTTGTTCTTAGGAGGTTTTTTTTTAAGCAGTTGGTGGAGTCTCTACTCTTGAGAATGTACAGGTAACTGGTCCAGCTGATTCCTAATGTCCTGTCCTGATCTAAAATGCTGTAATTCAATGGCAGCCGTATTAAAGTAGTTTGTTTCAGGCAAAATGACAAGGAAATTGGTTCTATCTTGAATGATTTATTGTCTCACATTGTTCTAAGGCAATTGTTTTATGATCTGCTTAGTTGATTGACATCAGTCTGAGATTATCCTCGTATCAGAGGAATGTCATTTTGTCCCTCAAATTTTTTTTTCTCATAATACTAGTTAGATAGATGAACCATCATAGCAATATTTAACATAGAAAGCAGGAGTCCCTTATGATGCTGTAAGTAGACTCCTAAGCCTTCTTTTGTCCTCACCATTTTTGTCCTTAGCCTTCCAAAAGATTAGGAAATGAAACAGCTTGGAAAAAAGCATAGACCCAGTGCAATGGTTCTAATGATTCAGAAAATGTGCGGGGTTTATTGTTGTATTTCTTACTGTGTGTCATCTAGCAGTGTAGCAGACATATGTGTTTCTGAACAAACATAAGACAAACGTGATTGTGGCATTGGGAAGAATTGGTGTCTCTGTAAGTGACAGTGTGTGTTAAACATGCTAAGCGAGAGCAGAGGTATGCATTGGAAAGGCTCCCGTGCCTGTCACTCTTGTCAGTATTACTGCTGTAGTGTGAAAGCAGCCAATAGATGGCAAGTACACAAATGAACACAGCTGCGATCCAATAAATCTTCATTGACAATAACAGGCGGAGAGCTACACACGGCCTGTGGGCTGGCATTTGGAAACTCTTGATTTAATGCAATCTGTTGTGAATCTGCAGGTTTACAAACAAGAAGCCAGAGACAACAAACATGTCCTTTTAGAACACGGAATTCTCAAAGTTTTCAGTTTTTACACTTTGACATGTGTTGTTCTTGGTTTTGTAAGTTTTATTTAAAGGGTGGATAAATCACAGACACACATGTTTTCTATTCTGGGATAGAATGGGTATGGAAGCAAGTTACTATCTTCATTTGATTTCCCCCCCATTAAAAAAAGTTAGGTCCATACATCAGTTGAACAAAAAATATTTATGCATTTGACTTGTTGGAATAAAGCTGAGTAGTTAATTCCACTAATTTTTGAGCTCCAGGCATGGGGTGGCTAGCAGCTAAGGTCTAGTGATATTTTTCTGGTATGACTGTCACCACATCATGGCCTTTTTCCTTTTAAACCAGATGGTTTATGTTATGGGCCACTCCTGAGAAATGCTGTGTGTGTTGTATGGCCGTAACCTTTGGCCTAGTCTCATCTTGTCATATGCTGTATTTTGTCTCTTAAATCGAGTAAATACTGGTTAATATTCATACAGAATTCTATGGGCAGTAAGCTGGGAGGGAGGGCAGCAGTGTCCCAGGTACAAATCTGATCGGTGTTTGTTTTCTGCTTGCAGTGGCACGTTTCAGTACACTTTGGAAGCTACCAAATCTCTCCGCCAGAAGCAGGGGGAGGGCCCCATGACCTACCTCAACAAAGGACAGTTCTACGCCATCACACTCAGTGAGACTGGAGACAACAAATGCTTCCGGCATCCCATCAGCAAAGTCAGGGTAGGACCTTCGTTTCTTAAAGTGGAAGGGATTGCTAATGGAGTGCAAGCCTTGCAGCTTTGGGGAATGGCGGGGCTGAGGGGTGGAATTCCAAAATAAATAATTCTAGTACCAGTGTCAGAGAGTGAAAGCAAGAGAATGTATTGGCTTGTAGTTTATCATTTTAATCAGTAACCAATAAACCCCAGGGTAGGCCTGTGGTTGGAACATGCCTCCTGACTGAATCCAAGGAATTTTCCTTGCTTCGTTCCCTGCCTATGTGCTACCTCATCATTGTTTTCCATCAGTTCACCTTGGTGTTTCAAGTAACTTGATGTAATTCAGAATATATTTGGGTGAGTTGGAGCTGTGCTGTGTTCTGTTAAGGTGACCAACCAGTCTTGCATCCTGACTCCCCAGGAAGTTGGCCACATTTTTAAAAATCTCTCTGCAGCTCAGAACTCAGTCTGGATTCGGGGGGTGAGGTGTGGTGCTCGTCAGGAGTAAAGTAGGAGGAATCTGCAGATCCAAGAGCCTTAACCCTGTCTGTGGGAAGTGAAAGTGGAGCCTTCACTCACTGCTCTGGAAGCCTGCCAGCTGCTGGCAAGCTTCCTTTCTGCCAAGAAGGGAGGGAACTGCTAATCCATTCTTCATTGAAAAGGAGAATTATAGCACAGCTCTGAAGGACTTTGGTCCTATCAAAGCAATTACATATGGTACCCAATATTCAAGAAATCTATAGTAGGCTAATTTTTAAGTCAATATTTTTATACAGCATGTAAATGATGTTATAAACATCTGAGGGGTTTTCATCCCTGCTAAAGTATGCTGTGTTAAACAGTATAGGGGGCTGGAAGGCTGAGAAATGTTAGCTTAGGGTCTACTGTTGGAGGGACTCAGTACAATTTTTGCGGTACCCTGCTACATATGTGGGTGTCTGTTAAGAAAACCCTATGTCCATTTTTTTTTTTATTGTAAAGTCAGATACACAGAGAGGAGGAGAGTCAAAGTAAGATCTTCCATTCGCTGAGTCACTCTCTAAGTGATTAGAGTGAGCTGATTCAATACCAGGAGGCAAGAGCTTCCTCCGGGTCTCTCCTGTGGGTGTAGGGTCCCAAATCCTTGGGCTGTCCTGCTTTCCCAGGCCACAGACAGGGAGCTGGATGGGAAGTGGTGCTGCTAGGATCAGAACCGGTGCCCATATGGGCTCCCAGCACATGCAAGATGAGGATTTAGCCACTAGGCTACTTTGCCGGGGTTCATTTGCTTTTAAGAAAAAAATCTAGTTATTTGAAAGGGGACAGGAAAAGAGAGGGACAAAGACTATCTTCCATTTGATGGTTCACTTCCCAAATGACTATAATAGCATGGATTGGAACAGGCCAAAGCCATGAATGTGGAAATCCATCCTGTTACAGGGATCCAAGCACGACCAGGCACTTGACCCATCAACCCAATACCTTCCCAGGCACATCAACAGAAAGCTCTTTTCAGAAGTGGAGGGTGCTGAAGCTTGAACCAGCACTCTGATACAGGACGTGAGAATCCCAAGCAGCAGCTCAGCCTGCTGTGTCATGACACAGCCACTCTACAAATTAGCTTGTTAAGGAAATCTTGTCACTACCAAGCACAAGCTGAACTTCTAAACACCGTTGCCATGATCCTAAGCAGATGGTGGCTATTCAGAGTGCAGAAACTTTTCCAAAAGTTTCACTGTGTAGGAATGGTAGGAAATAACTTAAAACATTAATTTGATTCCTTTACACAACACTAAAATAATTGACACCCCTCCACGCCCGCATAGTCTTTGCAGCTTCAATCTAACATTCTGATGAAGGAAGTAGGGGCCTCTCAGTGCACATTTCTTACTACTTGACTCTCTAGGACCTTCAAGACGGACAGGTGCACTTGCATCCTCTCAAATCTGATTTCTGAAGATGGAGTTTAACTTTCAGTCAAAGCCTGTATTGATGATGATCATTTCAGACTTGAGTGATGAAGAAATATAGTTCTGTACCAAAAATATGCCATTCTTAAAAAGTTTCAGTGTTATTTTATTTTGAGACACAACACCAATGAGCCACACAGTAAATATGTATATATACAAGGGGTTTGCAAAAAGCTTAAGGAAGATGTACATTATAAGGAGAAAACTATGCATGGATTCTAAAGTTTTTTGCACCCAAAAGGGCTTGGAGCAGGGCGGGGTGGCTGGGCCCAGGATCCTGCCATGGTGGTGAATGGCACCTTCTGTTTCTCTTTGTTTGTTTTTTAAAAGATTTATTTTTATTTTTATTGGAAAGTTACATATACAAAGAAGAGGAGAGACAGAAAGATCTTCTGTCCGATGATTCATTCTCCAAGTGGCAACAATGGCCAGGCTGAGCTGATCCAAAGCCAGGAGCTCTTCTGGGTTTCACATGTGGGTGCAGGGTCCCAAGGCTTTAAGGCCATCCTTGAATGTTTTTCCCAGGTCACAAGCAGGGAGCTGGATTAGAACCGGCGCCCATATGGGATCCCGGAGTGTGCAAGGCAAGGCAAGGCAAGGCAAGTACTTTAGTCACTAGGCTACTGAGCTGGACTCAATTGCACCTTTTCTTGCCACTCACATATTCCCATGTTCTGGTCATGTTTTGGCTGCTTGAAAATTTCAACAGTGCATTACAGGTTTCTCAACCAGGCTTTCCTCACTAACATTGTTTTCTTTGTAAAAATGCTTGCACAAATATTAGGAATGAGCCAGATTTTGAGTGGATAACCATCACTGGATTAAGAATCTAGAACCAAATTTGTTGTGGTGTTAAAAGTTTTGCAATGCAGGACCAGGTGTTGGTGCAGCAAGCTAATTATCCACCTGTGGCACTGGCACCCCAAATGGGTGCTGGTTCAGGTCTCAACTGCTCTACTTCCCATCAAGCTCCCTGCTTATGGCCTGGGAAAGCAACTGAGGATAGCTCAAGTTCTATGGGAGACCCAGAAGAAGCTCCTGGCTCCTGCTTCAGATTGATTGGTTCAGCTTCCGCTGTTGTCGCCATTTGGGAAGTGAAGCAGCAGACAAAAGATTCTTTCTCACTGTCTCTTGTTCTTTCTGTAGATCTCCCAAGAAAAAATAAATGAATGTTTGATAAAGTTTTATAAACTATGCATACAAGAGGGCATTCCAAAATTAGTTATTTTTAATGGAAAAGCTAGTGTCTTGTGAAAAATATTTGTCGGGGGTTCAGAGCTTGCACCAAAATTATCTTAAAAATAAATTATCGATGAATTAATGAATATGAAAGGCAGAGTGAATATGAAAGACAGATAAGTCTTCTAACTGCTGGCTCCCTCCCCATATGTTTGCAATTTTTGGGCTAGATCAGGCCAAAGGCAAGAGCCAGGAACTCCATCTGGATTTACCTTGTGGGTTGCAGAGACTTAAGTACTTGAGCCATCATCTTAGCTTCCTTCTTAGGTGCATTAGCAGGGAATTAGGTCAGGAGTAACCACGACTTGAAAAAACACTCCAATTTGGGGAATGGGAATACTGATTGGTGGTTTAACGTGCTCTGCCACAGGACTGCTTAATAAAATTTTTCTTGATTTTCATTTTATTTGAAATACAGAAACAAAAGAGATCTATGCACTACTTCCTTTTTCAAATTTCTGCAACAGCCAGGGCTTGAGCCTGGCTGGAATTCAATTCCAGTCTCCCTCGTGTGTGGCAGGTACTCAGAAATCTGAACCATGACCCACATCAGTGGGAAGCTGTATCAGAAGTGGCATTACAGGGCCTTGAGACAAACTCTTTGGGGATGCAGGTGTCCTGAGTGCTGTCTGAACCACTGTGTCAAACTTGTATCCGAACTTCAGTGTTGTTTTTTTCAGAACAGGTTACCTTGTTTTACTAGTATTTGTCAGGCACTAGGACTACCTTGATAAACAGCCGTTACTGTTTCCAGCCCAACTGAGTTCAAAGTTTGTGGGAAGATCTTGCCATCAGCTGAAACATTTTAAATAATCTGGTAGATTGACTAAACATTTATGAACTGCTATAAAGAAGATCTTAAGGAATGAAAATTAATTAAATATGCTTCTGGAAAAGACGTGAAGTCTAAGAATTTTGGATATGGAGTAAAAGGAAGAGTGTATCTGATGCTGTAATTAAGAAACTTTGTTTATAATACTGTTTATTTTATAAGTAGTAGTAAACTAATATATGTTTAATAATAAGGCTATTTGTAAGTTAGAACTGAAGGGAGTTTTGGATTCCTATTTCAATAAGTTTCTCAATATAGTTTCAATAAGTTTCAATATAGTTTCTCAATATCATTCTTGCAACACATTCACGCTTATTTATTTGAGAGGAAGAGAAAGAGCAAAGGAGAGGTGGGGTGGAGAGATAGATCATTCTGGGTCTGCTTCCCAAATGCCTGCAACAGACAGGGATGGGCTGGGTCCAAGCTTGGAGTCAGAAACTCAATCCCAGGTTTGCCACGTGACTGGCAGAGACCCCAGTACTTGAATTCTCACCTCTGCTTAGCAGGAAGCTGGAGTCAGCAGCCAAAGCCCAGCATCCAACCAAGGTATTCTGACGTAGGCTGTAACTGATGTATTAACTTCTAGGTTATGAACCTGCCCCTACATTACATTATGCTTTGGCAATTTTAGTTTAGGTCTATGTTTATCAGTGTGAAATGCATTCAGCAACAGCCAGGTCCTTAATATTTGTGATATGGCCTCTAGTTTTCCACTCCAACACATGTCATAAAGCCAAAAATGGATATTTGTTTCTTTATGTCCTTAGAGAACTTGGTGCCATTAATAAAATTTCCAGAATGTACTTATTTTCAATGTAATACCAAAAAAAAGTAATTTTTGAGTATTTCTAGTGACTTCACAGAAAGTTGAATTTTGTAACTGGTTAATCTGGATATTTGTTTACTAGCAAAACCTATAGTTGTGTGTGTGTGAGAGAGAGATCTCATTTGCCAATCATTTTTTTTTTAATTATTTGAAAGATAGAAGAGATTGAGACAGACATCTGTCTAGTTCACTACCCAAATGCCTGAAATAGCTGGAACATGGTCAGGGCAGGAGCTTTGAACTAAACCCAGATCTCCTATGTGAGTATAAGGGACCCAAGTATTAGAGCCATCACTTGATGCCTCCCAGGGTGTACATTAGCAGGAAGTTAGAGTTGGAAGTAGATTCGGGATGCAAGCCCAGGCATCTCAATACGAGATATTCCGAGCAGTATGTTAGTTGCAGACCAAACATCTGCCCCTAAGCATGTAGTTCTCTTTGCTAATGAACAAACCCTAACCATGAGCTCAACTGGGTTGCTCTTCAGCAAGAAAAGCAAAATCACGGGGACACATTTGGGGGGTAAGAGTTTGCAGAACTACAGGCAGACTAGGTCCTGGAGGCAATTAGCACAGATTGAGTCCCACAATTCTCCCCTCTGCAGAGCGTGGTGATGGTGGTGTTCAGTGAAGACAAGAATCGAGACGAACAGCTGAAATACTGGAAGTACTGGCACTCCCGGCAGCACACGGCCAAACAGAGGGTCCTCGACATTGGTGAGTCCACCTGGCCTTCTCTGCGTGGTCTTTGTTCAAGTGACATGTCACAATGCCAAGGGGAGTCCCAGCACAGCATGTAGCTCTTCTGATGTGCCAGATTAGAGTCTACACATTTCCTGTGCTAACACCTTTGGTACAAATCTGACCACCCATGCAAAGGCAAGCTATGCCAAGAGTAAAAGGAATTGTCTGCTGCAAGATACTCAACTGTGTCACCTGACATAGAAGTGCATTTAGATCTGCAGTGACTGTTGGTGTCTTCAATCATATTTTGATGCTTTTCCTGCTTGAGCATAACAGGCACTCAGCAGACCAGGTGAACTTTTGAGTTAGTGTCATGTGGTGCTAAGGCACTTGGCGAAGGTCACGTGACTGCATAGAGACATCTCATTTTTAGCTTTCCAGCCAGTATTCCTAGCATTCCAACACACCTAATGCAAGTAGTACTAGGTGTTAAGCAAAGGAAGTGTTAGAGACCTTACCTGCCAGTGAAGAGGGAATGAATATGCCAGGCTTATGGTCTGGAGTCTGTGTACTCCCAAATGCAATTTCCATTCTCTTGAGAAGAGTGGCATCACTTTGGGTCCAGTGGGCAAAGCAGAGTTCATTCTAGGTAATTCAAGGGAAGGGATTTGTTGCCAAGGTTGGAAAGGCTGGAGGCGCAGTTAGGCAACCCAGCTATTACCTGAAGCACTGAGCATCAAAGGGAGGAGGAGGAGCAGGTGGGTGTTAGAGGAGCCACCCAGCAGGAGCTGGGACCACAGAGGGAGCAGTTCTCCAATGGGAGGTAGAATTGATGCCAGAGACACTGCAGGTGCCAAGAGGGAAGAAGAGAGAATTCTTGAGCATTTCCCTGCCTCCCCATATCCTGCCTGTGCCTCCCAATGACCAAAATGAACGTGAAGCAAGAGGGCAAAATGGCCCTGAATGGTGCAGTTGCAGGAAGCAGCCTCTGGAATACACAACAAACCAGGCAATGGGTCTTAAAATGGACTGGAATGAGTGTATTTCTAAGTAATTTCAGCATTTTTATTTATGTTTTGTCTGTAAGATGAAAGCCTTTTCACAGGCCAGCAGCCTTCCTTGCCCCAGTTTTCATGCCACTAGCTGCAGTCCTAGAGAGTGACAGTGGAGGGAAGCTTTGTGTTGTTGGGGGTCTGAAGGGTTTACTGAGCCAATGCAAGAATGTGGCTTTGGTTTCTGACACATTGAGGAGGGAACTTTTATCAGATCTTCCATCTCGCTTGGTTTAGGAACCCTTGATCAAATGGCAGAACAGTTACTGATGAGATTATGGATGGAGACTGAGCATTCAACATGTTGAAATGACTTGTTGGTTTGTTCTGCAAAATGGTTAAGCCACGTCCCCATCCCTTCTCTTTCCATCTCTCTTGCCTTCTCTTCTCTCCGTCTCTCCTTTTCCCCTGCTCTCCTTTCTCTATTCTCTTCCTCCCTTTCCTCCCCCTTACTTTTCCTGTTTCTCTTTGTCTTATACACACTCATACATACACATAAATACATACGTTATCTAATAAATAAGAATACTGGGGCCAACCGAGGCTCAAGGACCTACTTTTAAGTTGCTTACCTTCAAATGCTCAGTGTGGAAAATGGGCTAAGGACCATCTCCCTAACCTAACCCAGTTGGCTGCACTGTATGCCCAAGACTGACTGCCCAGGATAGGGGTTTGGGAAACTTGCCTTAACCTGCCCTGCAACTTGCCTGCATAAAGCAGAGGCACGATTTCATTTTATTTGAAAAGTTAGCCTTATAATTATTACCCAAGAAAATGAGAGGAGCAATTAAAGAGAAGTATGGAATGGGTCCAAATAAGGCTGATCCTAAAAGCCTTTTACCAGCATACCTGTTGATTCAACCTTGATATCAGTACATGGTTCTCCTCTGAGGCTTCAGATCTTATCTGTCTTCTTTATCACCTTCCTGCCTGTTTTCAGACTTGCCTTCTGTGTATAACCTCCACACCACATGTAAGTATACACGCAGATATCCACATTGCTTATGTTGAGTTTTGTGATTTTATTCAGTATCTTCACGGCTAGCTGGGCTAAATGCTTCCAATTGGAGACCAACGTATTCAGCCAACCCCAAATGGAACATGTGTTTTCTTTTTTGAATTATTCATGCATTTAGTTTTAATTTTTATTTTTTATGATACACTCCAGTCAGCTGAAGGATTTCCCCTTCCACCTTCCCTTTAGCCCTTCCCCTGCACTGTTTCCTACTATATCATTATAGTATCACAGTTCTTCAATAACAGTCACCAGTCTATCACTACACTATTTTTAATGTATTATGACTTTGTAATTATAAGCAATGACAGAAATCTATCATCCTATTGTCAAGATATATTTCAGCTTCATTGGGAGTCCTTCTTTTATTCAGGAGTAGAGATGCATACTGCACTGTATCTTCTTGGTATGCTAGTCTCCGTTATACAGTTCCTCTAAGTGAGTGTATGTATATACAGAAACACATGTATCACCTCTAACCTGAACATAAAGATTGCTCCTGCAGATAAAGGAGATAAGCCAAACCATGAAATAATTCAATCCTCTGTTACATGTGGCCGAGCAGCTGTGGGAAATCAAGCCATCTGTTCTGCTGGTGGACTGTAAGCATCATTTACATATGAAGATTAGCCAGTGGCCCAGCACAGTGGTTTGGTGGCTAAATCCTCAACTTCCTTGCCCCAGGATCTCATATGGGTACCTGTTCATGTCTCAGTTGCTCTACTTCCCACCCAGCTCCCTGCTTGTAGCCTGGGAAAGCAGTAGATCCTGGCCCAAAACCTTGGGACCCTGCACCTGCGTAGGAAACCCAGAAGAATCTCCTGGTTCCTGGCTTTGGATCGACTCAACTATAGCCATTGTGGCCAGTTGGGGAGTGAACCAGCAGATTGAAGATCTTTGTCTCTTCTTTGTATAAATCTGCCTTTCGAATAAAACTAAATAAATCTTAAAAAAAAAAAAAAGGTTAGCTATTGCTGTCAGGGCACATGCCCCTATGTGTGTTGCACCGTCATGTGGAGTGCTCCTGAAGTGCGGGGATGAGAACTGTCAGGAGGCCTCTCCTTTGGCTGCAGATGATTTTCATGGGCTGAGGATCTGGGCAGGCTGGAGATGGCATTTGCTAGGTTGGGTTGAGTGCCTTTGAATGGCTCCCTAAAGAAAGAAAAGGAAAATGTTAACTTATTTCCCGGATTTCATTTTTACAATCAGGACTTAGAAGTCTGCGATTTGCAAATCTCCACAAGCCACTTTTCTGGTTGAGTCCATCAGAACCTCTTTAGGAAGTGAACTTGAAGCTGGAGTTAGAAACCAAATTGAGGTCTGATTTGTGAAAGCAAGCGTTCTGATACTTCTTGGTGTTTGTGGCCTGGTTGTACAAACTGCTATGACATGCAGCTCAGTTTTGTGTATGTAGTGGGGGAGCGTTGTGTGCTTTTTCATCTCACTTTTAGTGGTACCCAAGATAAGCAGTAGCCATCCTGCACTAGTCTTGCCCTCCAAAAGCACTAAGCAGGTGGAGCTGCCACCTCCCTTAGTGTACTTTCTTTTCTTTTTCTTCTTCTTTTTTTTAAGATTTATTTATTTTATTGGAAGGGCAGTTGTACAGAGAGGAGGAGAGACGAAGAGGAAGATCTTCCATCCGATGATTCACTCTACAAGTGGCCGGAACGGTCGGTGCTATGCCGATCCAAAGCCAGGAGCCAGGAACTTCTTTCCAGGTCTCCCACATGGGTGCAGGGTCCCAAGGCTTTGGGCCATCCTGGACTGCTTTCCCAGGCCACAAGCAGGGAGCTGGATGGGAAGTGGAGCTGTCGGGATTAGAACCGGCACCCATATGGGATCCTGGCACTTTCTAGGCGAGGACCTTAACCATTACGCTATCGTGCTGGGCCCAGCGTATTTCCTTTTCTTAGCATCCCACAGCCTGTGTGATCTTGTCATCTGGGACTTTCCTCATCTCTTGTGTTCTGTAGTAGTGATGCCTAGCTTCTTTCAAGTACCCACTTCACTTGGGCTAACAGGTCAGGTGCTGTTTGAGGCTGCCCCTTGTCTGTTATGGCCATTCCTCTGAGCATCCATTTGGGCTGGCCGTGCTGGTTGCTTCAGAGAATAGGACCTCTGCTGCTCTCCTCCTCCCTCCCTCTGGTGGAGACTGGTCTGTGGGTCCAAGCAGAAAAGAATGATGTCCTTGAGACCTGGGATGGAGGGAGGGGGGCTGCAGCTCAAGTGCTTGGAGTCTCTGCTCTCAGGGTTCTCTGAGGCCTTAGCCAAGGTCCCCCAAAGGAGTCTGTCCCTGCAGCAGCCCCTCTGCGCTTTGTAGTGACTCTTCCATGACTTGTTCCCTGTCCCAGTTCTGTCCTCATCAGAGTGCTGACCAGCACCTGGCCCCTTACTTCTTCATTTGCTTATGTGTCTTACTGCTTTGAACCTTGCTATAAGAATACCAGTGACCAAAAGACTTGTTTGTTTCATTCCCTATTATAGTCCCATGGCTTAGCATGTGGCCTGTGACACAATTGATGTGCAGCTTCACAGGGAGCCTGTGAGTGGATCAATGAGGGAGTGTATACCCAAAACCCTTGTTGTGTTTACAGAGTATCGGCCTATTGAAGGAGTGACCTCCTTTACCTTGGCTGTCTATAAGTATATATTATACCCCAACACTTTGTCCTTCTTCCTCAAAACAACCACTGGTTGTTAAAAAGAACTAAAAGCTTCACCCAAGGTCGCACAGCTGACAAACAGCGTGGACGGGATGGAAACCCAAGCATGCCGTTTGCCTGCTTTATCATTGTGATTACTCTATGCACTTTATCCTGTGCATCGCCTTTGCATCCCACCTTCTCAGGAGAGCCTGAACTACATTGGATACTTTACACGTGAAAGGGTGAGGGCCCGCATTAGCTGCCGTTGCGTGGTCCTGCTGCCTCCCTCATCCTCAGTGTGTAGGCAAGGTGGTTGCGTTG